GGAAGATCATTGACATAGAGAAGAAACAGTAGAGGTCCTAGAACAGAGCCCTGTGGCACCCTGAGTTTTACCGTCTATGACTTAGATGTCGCTCCATTGCAGATTAAAACCATTTCTCTGTTTGTTATATAGGATTGTATCCAATTTATTATATTTCGTGGAAACCCGAGCATTGACAGTGTTTTGATGAGAAATTCCGCGCATACTGTATCAAACGCTTTTTATAAGTCGAAAAATAGTGAGATCACTAATTTTTTTATCAATCTCTGTGTGAATATAATTCAGAAGATGATAGGAAGCTCTCTCTATAGATTTATTTTTCCTGAAACCATGCTGAGACATACATAGCAGCCTATTTGATTCCAAGTGATCCATAACCCTAAGTGCTACTTCAAATAATTTTGATATCAAGCCAAGCAAAGATATTTACCTATAGTTGTCCCTTTCTGTGTGGTTTCTTTTTTAATATTCAGGTATAACGAGTGTTTTTTTCAGAACTTCTGGAAAATATCCTTGAATAAGAGATTGATTCATTAGGTATGTTAAAGGAACGATAAAAGAATGTATTATTTTCTTAATTGTTACAATTGACAGTTCATCAAAGCCTGCAGTTTTTTTGTTTTTCATTTCTGATAGGGCATTTGTTATCTCATATTCCGTGACTGGATAGGATCGGAACGGTTTAATAATGGTTATATTTTCAGTAACAGTGCAGGGTAAAGACACAGTGATCCATATTGTCCTCTTTTTATTGTATATCAATGAGTTATTGTAAAAAAAACAAGAATCCAATATGCTATGCTGACGACAGCACACGTGTCTCGTCATTCCATTTGGATTCCAGGATATCGGCTACGGAGGCACATCTTCACCGGCAGCAGGAGGTTGCATATCTTAATGAGGATCTAGAAGGGATTTCGAATTGGGGTGAAAACAACCAGGTTCAATTCAATGCCACCAAAACCTAGGCTTTGCTCCAAGAAGATAAATGTCTCAACCTATATTCATCGACATATTCAGTGCCATCTACGGCACTTGTACGGTGTTGACGAATCACCGGTGTTGCCCTACGCTCCGGGGAATATTGAATCTGTCGTGGTGAATGAGAAATACCAAATTTATTGGAACTATTCATTTCTCTCCCACAAGCTCATAAAAGGTAATGAGCCTGATGTAGTTATTTTCAACCAACCGAGCAAGACCATATTTGTCGTGTAGTTTTCAGCTCCAGGTTAAGCGAAATTCGTCCGAAAAGAGGAGAAAAACGGATGACGTATCGAGATGTTCTCTTTGAACTCCGCAGACTATATCCAGACCACCCTGTTGAGATGGTTGTTATGTTTATTGGACTCCATGGTGGAATGATGCCCTCTCTACTCTAAAATCTCAAGATCATGCCGGCTTGCCGCATGTAATCTTGGCCGAGCAAATGCTGGAGACTGTCAATTTTGGCTCATTGCGTCTCCTCAGGGCACATGATTCTTGGACTCAATTGTCACTTATCTAACGGTGTGGGGAGTTGATAATGCTGGCGCGCTTTTCCGATTGTGTTGGAGATTGGGGGAGAAGGCCCGACCAGCTTACCCTTCAGTAGGAAAAAATAGTAATAATGAAATATTTTAATTCATGAAAATATGTTTTTATAAATATTACTCATTAATAAACCAAAACCATTCATACGTTGATTAGTTTGTAAATAAAGTAATAAAGTATTGAATTTCTTCAATTTAATTTTTTTTTCGAAGTTTCATCAGCATGTAAATTCATTTATCAATTGGTGTCAGAAAATTTTTCAAAGGTAATTTCTCATCCAATCCTTCGTCTTTTTTATGTGAAAAAAAATATTTAGTACTTTTTCTTATAAAAAGATTTGGAACCTTCAATTTTCATGTAGTTTTATTTTTATTTCGAGTATTATAGATAGGTAAGTTATACGAGGGAGGTCTGAAAAGTTTCGTACCTCAACATGAAGATAGCAGCACTAGTAAATAAAAGCTAGCAAATTTCGTTGACAGTTACTCGCCAAAGTTTTAGCCATTTTGGACGCGCAGTTGTTATGTAACAGTCCTTTGAGTGAGTTGATGTGAGTGTTTCTATGAAAATAGACAATCGAGTATCGAGTTATCCTTAAATATTTGTTTTTGAAAGGCAATACGTCAATGTTAATCAAAAATAAATTGGATTATGTGTTTGGGGACGTCCAAAAACTTTAACTACCGACGAAAACATCGCCAAAGTTCACCAAATGGTGCTAGATGATCGCCGAATTGAAGTGAGGGAGATAGCAGATGTTATAAACATGTCAAAAGAAGGTTTTTGTCTCATATCGAATCAACATTTAGGCATGAGAAAGCTGTCCGCGCGTTGGGTGTCGCGTTTGCTCACGTTACACCAAAAACGTGTTCGAATGAACATTTCCAACGTTCTATTGGCGCAGTTTAGGCGCGATAAATTCGAGTTTTGGCGCCGAATTAATCTACAAGTAGATGCAACTTGGATACACCATTATACGCCAGAAACAAAAATACAGTCCAAACAGTGGACTGCAACAGGTTAGGTTAGGTCTAAAGTGAGTGGGTCTACCCGACCCTCCACCGCAACCCGCAAGGGTTTATTTTGGCTCAAACCTATTTACACTCGACCAAATAAACCCAGCTTCTTAACGAAGCCGATTAGTTTGTATGGTGAGTGGTCTTTCAGGTCAGATTCTAAGATTACGGCTCTGCCGAACTCTAAAAACCTGATTCGGTCCCCAGAGGGGCAGGCACAAAGTATATGCTATGAGTTAGTCGGATAGTCAAGGTGCAAGATTCCCACCTTGATATCCACGACAACCTTCCCATATGACGGTTTTTGCACATCAGCTACACCTGACGATGCCTTACATTCCACCGTGCAGGGCTTTTTCGCCTCTGGTTTTGGCAAATCAACACTTGAGCGCAAACGTTTGCTAACCTGCTTATGGGGGGTTTGTTCTTCCACCTGAGACAGATTCTGCGTACGCTGGTCAAGAATTTGGTGCAAGGCGGTTCCATAAGGTATCCCGCTCTTGAGGAGACGGCTCAGTCGTTTCCTGGTTGCACCACCAAACCTTTTTTATAGGTTCAGTTATTGGATCAGGAGTTGAAGAGTTGAGAAGCTCTCGCTCCTGATCTGAATTTACAGGGAGGTCAGTTGAAATCGTAAGTTCGACATTCATCTCCTCTGTAGACGACTCAGCGTCAGAAATAATTTTAAAGTTTACTCTGTCCATAAAAGTCCCACGAGTAGCTAGGGAAAGAAGGTCAATCACGGCAGAGTCCTGCATTACCGTGACAAGGCGATGCTACGACGAGAGGGCGCCCGGTATCTCGAAGGTTTCGTTGAGACAGCTGATAGGCTCAGTGTCATTCATCCTCTCGGCACGGATACACACACCTTAGGATTAAGTCATCGTTAGGATGCCATTCACTTAGGGAATAACAGAACCACAAGTGATTCTGTTATTCCCATATCCAGAGAGGGCTACGTGGAAGCAGGCTTCCGATGGCTGGTTTGCTCAACCCCCACATTTCAAGCCAATGCACTCGCCAAAATAGCATGCACAATGGTTCAGGCAGTGAAAGATGAATAAGGAGAGCCAACCCGCCCGACTGCAACAGGAGAACCGGATCCAAAAAAAGCTAAAACTGTTTATCCGGCTCGGAAGGTGATGGCGACTATGTTTTGGGATAGTCATGAGGTTGTTTCAATTAATTTTTTTCAAAAAAGAAAAACCATCACAGGAGCATACTACGCATCATTACTTGACAAGCTGAAGGCAGAACTTGCGGAAAAACGGCACACATTTGCAGAAAAAATCCTGTTTCACCAAGACAACGCACCGTCTCACAGCTCAGCGGTTGTCATGTCGAAAATTTACAAATTACGGTTTCAATTTCCTGACCATCGGCCTTACTCATCAGATTTAGCCCTAAGCGATTTTTTTTTGTTCCCTCATCTAAAAATTATGCTCGTTGGACAGATTTTCATGAAATGAAAAGGCAACCATCTTCGTGAACAATTATTTTGCAGAGAAAATTGCCGAGTGCTATTTGGATGTGTTGCAGAGATGGGAGCATCGCTGGGAGGAGTGTGTATAGTTAAAAGAAGAATATGTTGAAAAATAATAAAAATCTGAAAAAATGTCTTGTATCATTGTTAGGTCGGAAACTTTTCAAACCACCCTCGTAGTTTGTATTTGAAAACCAGAGCCCAAACACAACGCAATCGTTTATCTTTGATATTCGATGATTGATTTCTCGAGTTTTGTCGACCCTATAGATGGCGTCGCCCTCACTTGAAATTTCTATGTTTTATTTTTATAGATATATGAGAGTATATTTTCCAAAATGATTGTCGACTGTCCATTTTTCAATTTCTTTTTAATAATGTATCTGAAGAGTATTTGAAAATTATATTACAAGTGATATGAGTAATATACTAATTTAACAAATCATTTTTATCAACATTCTCATCTCCCGCCTTAATATTCCGAATAGTGAATAGTATATTAACGATACTTACGATTTTCTTCAAAAATTTTAATATTGCCTTTTTTTGTCAGATAGTTGATATGTGAATCCAATAGTGTTTCAACATCAAGATTTTAAATATTTGGATGAATCAGTTTTACCAATTTCATTATTTTCAATTTCTGAAGATCCTTGAATCGGCAAGGTGCTTTTTATGAAGTGAATTTAACTTCAATTTTTTTAATAAACGCTGATAATGCTTACTTCAAATTTGTTACCAAAAAACGTTTTATACGGCATTATAAAAAATAATATAGTCAGTACCTATTTATTTGGCGTATTTTGTAAACAATATTGAATACTCAAAAGTCCATACTTTACTGCCAGAGGCGGTCGATGTATTTAGTTGGTTGGTTATTTTTAAAACTGAAGGTAACATGTTATCTAATTGCGGCGTTTCCCCATACTCTAACGAACTAAACATTACAGTTTTTTATAGAACAGTTTTCATTATAAAAGTGGATGTACTCGAAATACATATTAATTTCAAGCATTTGCACTTCATTTTAATAGTTCTCAACGCAATTAAATTCTCATATTGGTGTTCATTTCATTTCAGACAAACTCAAAGCAGCAGGCAGAACAAAGTTGCGGACCTCAATTGCCAAGCAGATGTGGTAAATCAAAATAGAAACAATAATGCCCTAAGGAAACCGATAGCCATCAGTAGGCCTGTTGTACCGACGGATAACAACAACCCCAGGAGTAAAATGATGTTGAAAGCTGACCCACCACCACAACAGGTGACATTCTGACTACTAACAGAAAAAATTGTTTGCATATATTGCTGATGGAGAAATAAATTTTATTGTCTAAGAATATATCTTATTGACAAATATTGAAAAATATTAGAATAAGGAATAAATTTAGGTTATACCGGAAGTTGGTACCAACTTCCTCAATGCAAATGTAACACCCTGTGTATTTTCACATTTTTGAATGCCTGGCATGATTATAATGTTAGTTTATGTAATACACCCTATACCAAAAATGAACCGTTCTCAAGATATTCATTTATTTACTCAAAAAAATAGGTATACGTAAAGTTGTAATATAACAAATAAGTTTTAAAATTTAAAAAAATTGAACAAAGGCATTGAAATTTTGAAAACTGGTTACTTAGCTAGGTACTTATTAATTTCAACATTATACTAAATCCAAATTGATAAGTTGACTCAACATTATCAGAATAAAATTCATGGGCTGCAGAGAAAGTAACTCTGTAACAAAAGTTTACAATGATCATTATGTTTGACTTTACATAACCTCTGTGTTGCCCTCTTCTGTAGTATAAAAAACTAAGTTCTTCTGTTGTTTATTGTAAAAAATCCAGAATACAATATCATACGTGAGGTGAGACTTGACAAGAGTATAGGGGTTATTCAAGTATTTTGTAAGCATCAAATGGAGTAGACATGGAGGCTAGAGGTCTGAATGCTAGTTACGTCAGCATTATTCATTTTTTATTGCCGTTTTTGCGAAATTTCGTAGTTTCTATAAATTGATGGATATAACCGTTACTACGTAGTAGGAGATCATCATGAAAATTGAAAAATGAAACTTTCTGTTTTTATACCACTTGTATTTGTAACTAACATTACTGCAGTTTCGTCCTATATAGGCATTTTCAATATTCGTTTGAATATGTAATATGTCATCCTCTTCTTTTGTATTGTATTTTGAATCAAAAACACTAATGATATTTCTTTTGATTTTCACTATAAATGGTTAACAAAACCGCAACACTTGTTTCGCTATACAATAGCTTTCTCAAGGAGTATTTTTAAGACTTTTATTGGCATTTCTCTGAAATATCTTTTACTGATTTTTTTTCTTGAATTCTTCATCAAGACACCATTCATAATTTCATTTGAATTGTTGAAAAATATTAACGAAACTACATTATGAATGAGATATGAAGGATATTGATGTTCATATGTTCAAAAAAATTTTTTCTTTAATTTCAATCAGTCATTTCCATGATATCAAACAATGTTTATTATATTTCAGTGGTTCAAATTATATTTCAGATTCATTTTTCTTCAGACTGTCACTTGTATATGACATTGTAGTTATCAAAATCTTTTCAATTGTATAAATTTCATATTTAATATCTTTTTACTTGCATTGCACTGATTTCTTCAATTTCAGATATCCAGATTCACACTTCAGTCCACCCAACTACCCAGACCTGAACCAATCAGAGTAATTGAAACGAAAACCGCCAAAACTCTCGCCAATAACAACAGGCGGGTGGCAGGGATGAATCAGCAGTATGTAGAAGAAACCTCTTCCAAAGATGGCTCTTTCACTGAAGACTCCGGAGTCGGAAGTCATTTGAGTAGTATGTAAAAAATTTTTCTTTTAATTCATAAAGCCGGTAAAAAGTAGTAGAATGTTTTTCTGCAAGTGTCAGTCTAAATTGAATTTGATATCTTTTTTCATAATTTGTTATAATTTTAATTATCATTGATGTGATCTACTTTGAGGTGTGGCCCTAATACCCAAAGTTTATATTCATTTTTCTTGTTATTGTTTTATTGTGACTCAGATAATTATTCTATTCAGAAAAATTGTTAAGACTACAACAGGGACTTCCGAACTTTGACAATTGGAAACGGCCATCTTGTTGAAGCTATTTCTGTCAAATTGATTGTCATTTATTCAGTCTGTTTTGACAAATCTCAATGGACGGATATAGCATTCAACAATATGTGCCAATAATAAAATTGTTTTATCAAAATGGGTGTTCCGTTCGGACAACGTACCGCGCGGTTCGCCCATTTTACGGTCGCCATTATTGTCCTACGAAGAGGACTATTTGCAATGTCGTGGATTAATTTGAGTCCACTGGTTCAGTAAACGGTCGACCAACACCCGTACATCGACGAGACGCAAGATCTGCCGAAAACATCGCCGCTGTCTGTGAGAGTGTGTAGAAGAATCCTAGGCAGTGGATTTCGCGTCGCTCACAAGAACTCGGCGGTTCGCAGACCACGTGACTTGGGCCTGCACCCGTACAAAATTCAACTGACCCAGGGACTTGAGGTGAACGGCCATAGACAACGACGTGTTCGCTGAATGGGTTCTGGAGCAGTTGGCAACTGACCTTAATTTTCATCAAAAAATCATCTTCAGCGATGAGGCCCATTTCTGGATGAATGGATACGTGAACAAACAACGTGAACAAACAAATTCGTGCCTTCGGTGAAATTCAGCCTGATTTGTGCGCCACAGCCATGGAAAATTGAACATTGCAGATGCGCTCCACCCAGAGGAGCCGTGGCGGACATTTGAACCGTGTTATATTTCACACATAATGGTATCAATAGGTCTTTCAAACGAATAAAAAATTTCGATATCTCACACTCACTTTGTTTTATTTAAATTCAAAGATAGGAAGCCCTTAATGAAAGACCCTATATATTCATCTTGAATATTATCGACAACTAAAATTAATTCTCACAGAATGTATTACATGTGTTGATATTCAATTCCGATTTTTGTGGAAATATTGAACAGATTATATTCAAATAGTTTTTCTTTTATTTCTTTCCGGTATTGTCTCTGCTATGGAGTTTATTTTTCATCTCATTGGTAAAAACATATTGGACTATGAATTTCAGGTTGTTTGGGTGAATCAGATGTAATTAGAGGACTGAACCAGTTCGACGCATCCCCAACTTTTGGGGCAAGAAGACAAATCGGTCAAGTCAAACCTAGAAATTTAGAAGTAGTGGTAACTGCAAAAAATATGTTCGACGTCAAAGATTTGGATGACTCAAACGATTCTTGTGATAGCATTTCAGCGCCTCCTTTGCCTCAGTTGCCTAGCGCATTTCATTCCTCGGGAGACAATAGAAACAAGTAAGTTATAAACTTTTCTAGAAGAATTTTTAAATATTGAATGAATGTGTATATCTCTATTGAAAAGTTCATTTTCTTTACATCGAATGTACATGTTCATTTTTGCTTACCTATTAATTTTCAGTTCGTATCAGTCTACTGGCTTGGTTCGAGAACGCACTTTAGAGTATCAGAGATTGTTGGATAGGGATCAGCGAGTGCGAAAAGTATCAAAAACTTCGTCCGAGGGTTTCAGCGATGATTACGGAGAGGAAGAAAAGACTTATAGAGATACGTGCAGGAATGAGAAAACCTTCGTAAAACCGTTGTCGCATCCGACATTTCTCAAATCTAGAAGTAATCAGCTTAAGTGTGATTCGAGTCCTCCTAGTTCAGATGAACAAGAGTGGGTGAGTTGTTTCAAGTGAGACTTTAGGACATAGCAGTCATTTTGAGCGAAGACATGGATAATAGATTTCTGTAGAAATTACAAAAATTCAATATTAGATTTATCATTAAATGAAAAAATGTGAAAACTTACGAAAAAAAAAAATTAATGCAATATTCATACGGCCATAGGAATTTCATTCAAATTGAAAANAATATTCATACGGCCATACGAATTTCATTTAAATTGAAAAGACAATATTTTTAGCAGTGATCAGTTTTCCTGTAAATTTTGCCTTTTCAATTTAAATATAGGGCTAAGTATGTCAAAAGTCCTCTTTAGTATCCCAATTTGCTCTTCAATATTCCGAATATTTTTCGAATTTTTGACATATTTCAACTTATTAAATCCGAAATGGTTTGTATCCAATAAAAACTTACTCTGTTGAATTTTCAGGCTCATGGGGGTGAAGCGATGGCAGACGACGTCAGTTTTTCTTTGAGTTCCAGTGATGAAAGTAAAGACAAGAACCACGAAAGTTCCGTCCCGATATCTACGGTTGTGATTGGGTCTGCAATTCAAAGCTTGATGAGCGGATCCTTATTTTTTATAAAAATATAAATATGGAACACTTACTAACGAAAGAATAATAAAGAAACTGTCGAAGGTAATAAATTTAACGAAAGCTTGACAGAAAATAAAGCATCTTTGTAACAGCCCTACGAAACACATTTTTCAAAATTGTCGTACATTTTCTTCTTAGAATTACATTTAACATTAACATAACTGTTATTACAAATTCCACTTGAGGTTGGATAATAAAGTCAGATCAATTTTCTTATTTTTATTTGAATGAATACAGGCCACATGGTTTTGTACCAGAATATATTTCAAATTTCCCTCCAAACATGTACTGAAACTGGTGGAATTTCTGTCACATTAATATTTCCAAAATGAGTTGGTACAGGTATTTTGTCTGACAGAATTTCAGTTCTATGTGTCTGTGAACACACAATCCGTCTCAAGTCTACCAACTCCTGTAGAACTAAACAAGTATACTAGAGGCTGTATCATATATGTCAAAAATAATTTCAGTATGTTTAGTGAATACGGAGAAACCCATCGGCATAATACACTTCACAAAAGTTTATTGAAACCTGACAAAACAAAGTTGACTTTCATTAAGAAATGATTCGTTGCTGAATAATAATTTATAATTACTTACTTCTGTTCCTGAGGCATAAAAACACAAGTATTTTAAAAAATCATCCTCAATTATTTTTACTTTCAATAGACTAGTATTGATTACTGGAGTTTTATAATAACGATATTAATGACAAGTTCAATTGATTATATATCTGTATTCCTGACTTTGTATGTATTCCTATTCTATGTACTTGTATTTCTATATTTTCATTGCGCCAATTTTGGCACATTTAATGAGGGTTATTATTAATAAATATCAACAACTGAAATTACGAACTAAAGGTTAAACTTAATAATAGTCAAGGTCAACAATAGGTTTTCCCGCGTTTTTCTCTATCAGAAATCTTTTAACAAATATTTGGTTCCGTGTTATGTCGTTCTATGAGTTGTAGTCTGACATTAGGTGTCTCATGATAAAAAAATGAGGATTTTCAGTTATGAATTTGATTGGCTAGATTCAAATGTTCCAAAAATGCATTGCACCAATAAAATGGTTAGAATTCGACACTGGGGGGAACATAAACAATAGAATTTCGACTTCGAGAGGTTAATGGCGTTGAATGTTGATTTCAGTTAAAAAGTATAAATCGTTTTTTGTGTAACGATTTATTGTTGATTGTTTTTCTTTTTTTAATGATTGGCAATTATTGTGCAAGGTGAATTGTTTCCTTACTATATGTGAGTAGTACTTCTTCAAACTGCATACATTTTCTGTATTCAAAAGTGACAATTGAAAACTAGAGTGTCAGTTTCTTCATTAATAATTGCGTGTCATTATTGACAATGACGAATTTGTTGATGTCATATTTGAAAAAGTTACTCAAAGTAACATGAAGCGGAATCCCTATTACAGACCCATATTTTTTGTAGCATCCTTGCTAGATGACGAAACTTTATTATCTCCTGCTGACAGTATAAGCTATTCAGAATCTGAAGAAATTAAGCGGAAGTTAAACCGTAGTTCGTCTAACTCCAAAGATATCAATGAGAAATTGACGCCGCCTTCTCCTGGCACTCCAACGAATGCATCAAATTCATTATCCCTTTCAGACGGTAAGGAAATGCCAGTCTTCTACCCTTTCTTGATAAAATTAGAGTTTAATGTAGGTAAAGAAGATTTTTTGATAGACGACGAGATTGCCGACCAACCGGCTCTCATTTTCGAAGACACTTTATCGATGACTCAGGAGAACAACTCTGAAACCATCATGGAATCGACTCCTAAACCAAAACGGAAAGTTCCAGCAGGTTTCGAAGGGAGCCCCTTGAGCTCCAGGAGGGGAAAGTTCTTGCAGAACAGGACGGGGTCGCTGGACACGTTGTCCCCCTGCGAGAGCATAGCCAGTGACGATCTCATGATGGACTTTTACTTGAGTCAAAGTAGCGGCTTGGATGATTGTGACGGGTGAGTTGCACATACATTTTCTGGAAACTCAGATGATTATTGCTTTTTTGTGTCTTTCAGTCAGAGTAGTGGGTATCCATCAATAAGTGATACATTGATCCAGAAAAGTGAAAGCGAAAATGCTTGCCGAGGATTGAGGGATTGGAACAGTCTTCTTGGAAGGAGCTCGGGCCAAGAAAAACAGAAAAGAAGGTTAGTGGTTTTGGGATTTCTATTTTTCAAAGCAAATTATGAATTGGTTTGTTTTTTTTTTATCAAAAGCCAGCCGTTGCTAAGAATTTCAACTTGAGACATTATTTTTGAACCAGATGATAATAAAAAGTTTTTTCACTATTGACTAAACATAGGGTATATAAAGGGGTGTTCCTCTGTTGCATGTTCTTCATCCTACTGCTCCTTCTTGAGGTGCTACAGATGACCACCTGGAAAAACCACTTAGTATATTCCACAATCCCTGCAAATAAAAAAAAGATTCTGTTTTTTCGTTAAAATTTGAAAATATTCATGTTTGTACTTATATATTTCAAATATTTGATATACTTTCAACTTTCATATATACTGAATTATTTATAAGAAATCTGAAAAAATGTCTTGTATCATTGTTAGGTCGGAAACTTTTCAAACCACCCTCGTAGTTTGTATTTGAAAACCAGAGCCCAAACACAACGCATTTCCGATTCAACACCAGACATCGTTAGCTGGGTAAGTAAGGTCGATAACATCTTCTTTCACGAAGACGACATCTAAGAGGTCGGCAGAGAACTCAACGAATATCAAAGATATTTCTAAAAAATAATCTCTTTAATATTCGAGGATTGAGTTCTCTGTCGATTTCATAGATGGCGTCTTCGAAAGGGAAGATGTCAAGCTTTTCCTGGACAGCTGAATTCAGCAAGGCATTTGTAATTCAGCTCAGCGCCGCTGATGAAACCTATGTCGGGTCAAAACAGCGCTGTCTGATGTTGAATAATAATTGCGTTGTGTTTGGGCTATATTTTACAACTAGTTGCCTTGCAGTGAAAGCTGCAGTGAAAGGCAGAGCGTGAATCTTGTCTTCTCTGACCGCCTTGGGAAGCCTCGTTTATCTTCGATACTCGAGGATTGAGTTCTCTGTCTGCCCCATAGATGGCGTCTTCACCCTTACTTACTTAGGCTTATCCTTTGAGGACAGTTGAGTCCAGCAATGCATTTGTGGTTCAGCCTAGTACCACTAATGAGACCTATATCGGGTCGAAACACCGCTGCCTGGTGCGATTTGTTTAGGTTCTGGTTTGCAACGTTTTGTTTTGAAGTGAAAGTCAGAGGGCAAATCTCGTCGGCAGTCGATGTCGAAGTTTACTTTTGCAACTGACCGCCTTGGTGAGTCTCGTTTATCTTTGATATTCGATGATTGATTTCTCGAGTTTTGTCGACCCTATAGATGGCGTCGCCCTCACTTGAAATTTCTATGTTTTATTTTTAAGTTATTATCATGGCCTTGGTTTTGACAGTATTTAATCTGAGCTCATTAATCAAAAAGTTGTTTCGAAAGCTCATTTAAAGTCCAAGAACATTGCAACTATAAATTTATTTTCATCTATCAAAGACTTCCACTTTGTTATTGTCAGTTGCAAAGCAGTCTCACAAGAATGATTTGATCTAAAACCTGATTGGTAGTCCATTAGTAAGTTATTATCATATCAGGCTGAACATATTTGCCAAACTGTTCATAAACGGCCACCTTATATTTTTTTCCAAGGGTGGTAAAGTACTTATGGGCGAAGTTACTAGGGTCATGAATTATATTCCTTTTTGGTACTGGGACTACGGTACTCATTTTTAGTTGAAGCGGTATTTCACCAGTTGCTAAGGATATATTTATGAAATTCAGATTACGGAACATGTCCCGTAATCTGTACCGTATCAAGACAATAGTGAAATAAAAAACAAATATTTATGTTCAGATTACTGTTGACCGAGCAATTCAGTTTTGATATTACTTTTGAATATCGATAGTGATAAATTTTTCAAAAATTCACTGAATGAATTGTATATTGTTGCAGTATGATACATGAAGGATCATTCGTAGATAGTGTTGTTATGATTGGGAATGTCAAAATTATTAATAAATCTAAGGTTTCTTGGATGTATCTGATGTCTAGGAATAAGTTTTTTCACCAAATAAGTGGGTTGTTGTTTTTGTATCAGTTTATGAATGAAACAACCGAAATTCAATTCTCTTCTGTTTTGCAATTTAAACCAATTTAATTGAATAATGAAAGAGGTCGCATAATCTCTGTAATTCAAGCTGAATATTAGTCTAATGCAAGTGCAAGAACAAGTGAAGGATTCTTCATTCAATGTCCAAAGATTGCAAGTGCCACAAAAGGTATCAGTTCAAATATTTGCAGCTAGACAAAGTGAGTAGAAATGTTTGGGTCATTCTTTCAGTGACCCGTTTTGTATTTTCATTGTGGCTATTAAAGCTCATAGAAGCTGATCCAACATCAACATGCGGATTTCCAAGACAAACAGTTGCTTTGTCCATGGGCTCTAATTTAAATCACTGAATAAATCTACCTGGGTATGTCATTCACAGCCAAACTATTCAATGTATAATGAATAAATGAATCACGTAATACACTCCAAGTTTAAAATCTCATTAATAATAGAGTTACTCTGAGTATTGTAACTTTGTTAACATTTTTAAAGATGTGAATTCTTGTATTTTTTGGTTCTTTTGATTGATTTGTGAGATTTCATTAGTGTTTGATCCTTACGGTTGTATCATTTTTTTGGTTGTGTATATGTGTTGAAATGCTGTTTCATTTTGAAACCTACCTCTGAAATTTCGTTTAGCTAGCACACAATCGTCTAGATTGTAATAGAGGTACTGTCTATGAATTTTTAGATTCATAGTTACAAGCAACCACTTGGCTGGAATGTTATCTTATGGAATATTCTCTTAATATATCCCTTATGAATGCATTTTTGCTTAGGAAAGGTGATTTTTTTTCACAGCAAAACTGTTTACCTAGATATTATCCCAAATACGTAACACATTTCACTGAATTTCAATCAAGACGGTGTAATAAATTTATATTTTCTCGAATAACAATCACAATTCTGAATAATCAGAAGTACAATATTCTTCTAGACTCTAGTTTTTTTTTTATCTCCTGAAGATACCAACTTGGTATTGAGTATTGCATATCTGGTGATTGGAAAAAGTACTTTTTTTGGATACCAATGTTGAGTTGGACAATAATTCAATAAAAAACATTTTAATATAATATTTGTTTGGGTAGATAAATAACTATGTTGTTTATCTTAATTTTAGTAATCAATTTTGAAGAATCCATAATTTTGACTTATATATAATTTCACTAACAGTAGGGAAAGGATTTTACAGTTTGCTCTTTCGACTCATAAATGTCATAACAGCATCCATAAAATCTTCAGAATTAACACACTCTTTCAGCATATCAAATTCTCTTGAAGAAATTTCTTTCAGTTGTGTTTTCAAGTTGCCCATCACCACAGATTTGTTTCTAATGAGGCTATTTACAGGAAGTGTTCCGTACTGATGTAATTCATTGATAAACGTCTCCAATTCTAACCTTGGTATTACTTTTGAAACTAGTCCAAGTCTGTGAGCTTCTGTGGCTGTCAATTTATGGTTCAAATATAACACCTCAGAAGCTTTGCTTCTGCCTAGTATCAGGGGGTATGTATAACTGGAACAACCTTCCACGCATAATCCCATTTTGACAAATGGGGTGTCAAATTCTGCATTTTCTGTTGCATAAACAATATCACATAAAATAGGAAGAGTTGCTCCTATTCCAATAGCTTTACCATTCACAACAGCAATCAATAATTTGGGATACTCTATAAAGGTATCAATCATATCCTTTACAGCTTTCATAGCCTGTTCCCCATTTTCCATGGAACTTTTCAAATCATTACCACTGGTAAAATAATCACCAACCCCAGTTATTATAGTCAGGATAATCTGGTCATCTTTGGCATCTTTCCTCAAAATATTTGAAATTTCTTCATACATACTTTGGCACATTGCATTTTTTTTCTCTGGTCGATTGAACTTGATGGTTTTGACTCCATCTCTGTAACTCTGCAGCACATAGGACATTTCGAAAATATTTATAATACAATAAATTTATTCTGAATCCAAACCAGTGCAAAAACTGTATACAATGGAAAAGTAGAGATTCAAGTCAACAAAAGGTAATAATTATGATATTTCAACTCACGAATTCTTTTTACCCAATGTTCAGCTGGTATTATTTATACTATTAAAATATAAAAATTAACTGAAATTTTCTACTACGTATTCTCTTTACAACGGATTTGCTAATTAATTTACTGAAATCATTTGACTAACAAAATAACCTTTCAACTTGTTTAAGGTCAAACATCACAGTATTTTTTGTGATGGAGTATTGAACCAAAGTATTTCATTCCATATAGTTACAGAATTACTGTACTGTGATAAAAGTAAGATTGATTAATAAACATAGATATGATTATATATTATATTGATAATATAAGGACTGGGCGTGATATCTTTTACATATATTCCACCCGCGGANTGTGACTTGCATTAGGTGAATGGTAAAGGGCACCAATTAACATTTTTACATTATTATTGTATTTTATTTTTATAATTAGGCACCAATAATTTTTTTCTAAAGTATAGTTCTTGTAAATGGAGTATTGTAAATGAGATTTTACATATATAAGAACCCCTCCTGTATGTCGGGAAGATGAATCACATCTAATTGTTTTATATCCCGTTAGCATTCTTTCACTGTCCTCAATGTCAACAGTGGTACGTGTTTCACTAAATAATATTATTGATGATTGGTATGGTAGGATGGAATTAATTATTTGGTCTCTGTGTGCAGTTAAACTTTCAATATTTCAATTGAAATCATTTCAATCGAAATCATTTCAATCATTGTCACAGGTAAACAAAATTCAGGTACTCAATTAAGTTAAGTACCTCTGTTATTACCTACGGTGGTGTTATATAAGGGCTAATGGTATCGATCATTTTTATTTTAATGTACCTATAAGTTTGCAAATGTCCATGTAGGACGAAACTGCAGTAACTTTAGTTACAAATAAATGTGGTAAAAAGCATAGAAAGTTCAATTTCTCATTTTTCATATATTTATCAATAAAAATTCATTCAAAACATAATTGAGTTTAGTTATTTGTAATGAGTTAATAAAACTAGATTCGACAAATTTATTTTTTTCATGGAGAAACTGCAAATTCTTTTTTAAATTTTTTCAACTTGAAATCAATTTTTGAAGAAGTATACATGAACTTCAATCAATCATGGCCTGATACACGAATATTATGTCTGGAGAGAGCTGGGTGGTAGTGGATTTTTTTTAAGATGTACAAGCATGTCACGAAAATCCTTAAGGCGATCTGAGATTGGTGCTTCACAGACAGGGCGCTGTTTTCCAAACAGGGATTTATATTTTTAGTATTCACTCATCATTGAATCTGAAGAAAATATAAATTAACGAGCGAGCTGTTGAGATGGTGTCATCAGGGTGCAAGAGTTGTTGAAGTGTTCTAGATACAGGTTATAGAGATGACATTGCCTACCTTAATTTTTTTCGTTCATTTAGTTAGAAGTATTCTGAGAATGAAGGCATTGATTGTTGAGCACTTTAATTGAGAAATAGTTCAATTTTTTTGTGCTCGTGTTATTTGTTAGAATTTTAAATGCATGTGACAAAGAGTGATGAATTTGAAAACCATATTGGTAGTATATTGGTATTTTATTTCCTGTCTTTTCCAAAATTGTTTTTGATGATTTTCTTCAGGTGAAATGAAGTTATTTGACTAAATCTTCATTCAAACTATTCAAATTTTTTCATGGATTCGTGAAAGGGGACGGAGGTAGTTCCCGTATTATTGTTCAAGAGGAGTATGAAATATTTATTCAAAATTTATAGTTTGAGGTATTAGTTTGGAAAAAGTGTTTAGAATGTGTTTTTCCGTTAATCAGATGTGGCCCACTAACAAACAAGAACTCTTAAAAGTCGAAACTTTTGCGAGCTGAGGACCAACTTTCGCACGGCACTTGATTGAATGACAGAACTAACCTCGAAACTACTCAAGCTAATTAACCCGCTACCAAATGACAAATTTAGTAATTTGACCTTCAAATTTGATCAAAAAATGTTTTATTTCATACAATAATCACTCATTGATTGATATAAAGAGTTCTGTTACACTTTCCCTTTTTAATATATGTTATACACAGTTTGACAGTGTAATTGTTTGCTATAGGAAAAATAAAGAGTTCATAATGCACCGTTTTTTTCCATTTGTAAGTTAAAAACATTACTTGGTTTCTTCTTGCATAAAAAAATAGAGAACCAAAGAAAGACATTTTTCAAATCAAATGAATTTTTTTGAGAAAGAATTTTGGAAGTGGCTAATCATAGTCCAAGCTGAAAGATAACACTGGACTCGCTTTTCACCAACCAATTTGGTTTATTTTTAGGAAAAAGTTATTTTCAACATTTGGAAATACGTATCAACCTCATTATAAAATTTTTCATGCCAGATAAACAAATTTTAGAATCTCGGAGTTTTCCTAATAACATTTTTTTATATTATCCATAAGCTAATTATTTCTGTTGTTTCTACAGTTGATAGTTTCGAACGTTGAATTATAGTTGATAAAGGGCATTTCAGAAAGCTATAAATTTTTGTCAAGATTGTTGAAGATTTCTCGAACAATTATTGGTATTTTAATCTCCCACCCTAAAAAATTATCGATTGCAATTTTAATTTCTTTCAGATTGTGGAAGCTGAGAATCCCCTCGAGTAGACTTTGNAGCCAAACTATTCAATGTATAATGAATAAATGAATCACGTAATACACTCCAAGTTTAAAATCTCATTAATAATAGAGTTACTCTGAGTATTGTAACTTTGTTAACATTTTTAAAGATGTGAATTCTTGTATTTTTTGGTTCTTTTGATTGATTTGTGAGATTTCATTAGTGTTTGATCCTTACGGTTGTATCATTTTTTTGGTTGCGTATATGTGTTGAAATGCTGTTTCATTTTGAAACCTACCTCTGAAATAGATTCCAAAAAGAAACTATAACAAAGGACATTTTTCATCATGAAAAATGAAAAAACTCGCTTGACTGTTGAAAGGTTTTGATTGATATGAAAAATGCTATGAAATAGTTTATGCAACTGTATTTTTTCAGTATAGTTGAAACTTTTCGAAGTCACTTTTTCAATATGTATGACTTGGGTAAACATTTGTAAAGAAATACACCTTCTTTTAATTAATTTTCTATTTTATAAATATTTATATTTAATTACTTTATTTCGTAAAATTTCGAGTAGACTTTGAATACATTTTTCATTCCAAAACTGAAATGGAGCAAGAACATGACAGTCGTGCATTTGAAAACACAAATTTATTGAATCCTTTTTTTTTCAAGTCAGTATATTTTATGCCACCTCCAACAGAAAAAAATTACAATTAACGTATGTTCGAATTATTAGCAACAACCGTGTTTCAATTCTGAAAATTCAACTGAAGCAACATTATAAAACTTTTTGAAATGAAATGAATTCTTAAATGATATTTATAAACTTGAAAAACATTTCATAGTAAATGGAATTTGAAATGGAAAATCTTTATAATTTTTATGATGTTTGTTGTATCAGAACTATTTACTTCTGCATTTGCATATACAAAATTTCTCAGTATTTCAACAAGCTGGTGTAATCAACAATCAGTTTAACAGAACAGGATTGGCAATTTACTAATATAAGAATTTGTCTCAATTCTAAAATACAATACTGAAACACTTAAAAGACTAGTGTCAGTTTTCTCCAATCAAAATGAAATTTTAATGATGATTTCAACTTTTGGGGAATTTTTTTGCTTTTGTTGTTTCGTTAGCATACATCAGAAATAATCTATTGAATGAAATGGCGATTTTTTTATGAATGGTTCTGCTATTGATCTTTTTTCTTTCAACGTGATTATTTATTATCACAAGGTTCACTATTCACTTGTGAATTGAGTAATGATTTGGTGCCATGAACGCTTCACAAGTCAGCCTTTTTTCTAGATAATTTCGATACTCATTGAGGGTGTGCTGAAATTGTAACCTAGTAGTCACTCATACCCTACAGTAAATGACTACTGAGCTGAGGAAATGATTACTCTGAGTATAAATAGTCCAGTTATATAAATTATATACGTATATAAATAGTTCAGTAAGAGAATTAGGAATACGTCTTAACAAGTTGTTCAAAAATATTACTATTTTCGTCCCACCTCACAGCAATGAAAATTCATTAATTTCAGTTGAAAACATGAGTAACCAAACCACCCCACATAATTCAACTTTAGTTTCATTTGATGTAAAGAGTATGGTCTCCAACATACCATAAAACGAGTGTATGGTATGTTGATATATCAGATCAAGCCAAAGTAGACCATATCACATCTTTTGAAATTTTGACAGCTTTCGATGTGTGCCTAAATCAGAGTTACTTACAGTTCAACAACAAATTTTATAAACAGGATTCAGGTTTACCAATGGGCTCACCTCTAGTCCACTTTTAGCAAACAGCATGGAGAGCATTATAGTAAATTCCGACCTGGGTATAAAACGTATTCATTTTTGGTATAGATATGTAGATGATACTCTCGCCTTTTTCAGAGGTACTACATGATAGCCGAACCAATTTATGACATTCATAAATAATCTCAATAGAAACATTCAGTTCACACTCGAAACAGAGATAGAGAAACAAGATAAATTTCTTAGACCTGACAATTACACATAATCAGAATACGTTTGAGTTCAATGTATTCATAAAACCTAGCTATACAGGTATTACAATCCCAAGTGGTTCTTTCCATCCAGATAGTCATAAATTAGCAGCCTACAATTCAATGTTGCACAGAGCATTCTCATTACCATAATAATGGTTTCAACGCAGACACAATCCAGAAGTTAGTCAGAAAACAAAGCCGTAAATTCACTTAACGATTACCCCCAGATCAAACAATCAGAAATCAAGAAATGGGTAACTATAACATATTTTGGTAAAAAATAGAGA